GAGCGAATGTATGCCTTGACGTCGGCGAGTAGGGAAGGCCAGTAGAAGTAGCGGGAGATGGTGTCGAAGGTTTTCTGGAAACCGAGATGTCCTGCGGTCTTGGCATCGTGGTGCTCGACCAAAAGCTGAGTACGGAGGCCCCGTGCGTCGGGGATGCAAAGTCGGCGAGTGCCTGTGGTATCGATGTAGAGGAGATTGTTGTGGAGGGAGTAGTCGGGAACTGGGTCAAGATCGCGGAGCTTGTTGTAAATGGTGGCGAAGTCTGAGCAGGAGAGATAGCCTTGGGTGTATCGATGATGAAGTGACGGAAGGAGTTAAATATGAGTCATGGCGGCGTAGACTTTCTCGGGGGGCTTGTGGTCGGGTCGAGAGAGGGCATCCACAACACGGTTGCTTTTGTCGGGGGTATGGCAAATGGTGAATGTGAACTGGGCAAGGAAGTCTAGCCAGCGGCCTTGGCGTGGAGTGATATCTTTCTTGGAGAGGATGAGGGAGACAATGGTGTTATCAGTGCGGATGGTGAAGTATTGCCCGTCGAGGTACGGGCGCCAGACTGTGAGGGCGTGAATCACGGCGAGGAGTTCCTTCTCGTTGGAGGGGTAATTCATCTCCGCGGGAAGGAGCTTCTTGCTTGCGAAGGCGATAGGGTATTCGCCAGGTGGAGCCTCGGGGTGAGTGGGCGAGTCCTTGATGGAGGGGGTCTTGGCGGTGTCGCGGGGGAAATGTTCGGACGGTACGGCTCCGATGGCGAAGTCGGAGGCGTCAGTAATGACATAGAAATGGCGAGTGCGGTCGGCGATCTTGAGGACAGGGGCTGTGGTGATGGTTTGCTTGAGTAAGTCGAAAGTGTGGTGGTGGCGATCGTTCCAATGGCAGGGCTCGTCCTTGCGGGCGAGTTCGTGTAGAGGGTAAGAGATCTCGGAAAAGTTGCGAATGAACGGGCGGTAATAGTTGGCAAGGCCGAGGAAGGAACGGAGTTGGAGGAGGGTCTTGGGTCGGGGGTACTCGACGAAGGCTGTGACCTTCGAGGGGTCCATACGGATGCCTTCAGCGGAGACAATATGGCCGAGGTATTCGACGCTCGAAGCGACAAACGTACATTTGCTGAGCTTGGCGTAAAATTTTTGCTCTCGGAGGATCGAGAGGACTTGGCGGAGGTGCTGAAGGTGGGACTCGAAGGTGGGSCTGAAGACAAGGATGTCATCAAAGGTAGACGACGACACAGACTTCGAGGAGGTTGCGGAAGATGTGGTTCATGGTAGATTGGAAGGTAGCGGGGGCATTGGTGAGTCCGAATGGCATCACGAGGAACTCGTAGTACCCGAATCGAGAGCAGAAGGCGGTCTTGTGGGTGTCCTCCTCGCGGATACGGATCTGGTGGAAGCCACTGCGAAGGTCGATCTTTGTGAAGTACTCGGCTCCACGGAGAGGAGCTCGGAAATCCGAGGTAGGGGGTACTTGTTCTTGATCGTGATCCGGTTCAAGGCGCGGTAGTCTGTGCACATGCGGAGTTCCGAAGTTCCACCTTTCTTGACGAAAGGGCAGCTGGTTCCGAAGGGGGATGAACTTGGCTTAATGAACCCTTTTTCAAGGAGTTCACCGAGTTGCCGCTTCATTTCTTCAGCTTCGAGGACGAAGAGTTGGTATGAAGGGCGACAAGGTGGAGAATGTTCGGGTTCCAAATCGATGGTATGTGATACGCCATGATCCGGAGGTAGTCCGACGGGTAAGGACTTCGGAAAGACGTCCCTGAACTCGTCGAGGATTGAAGTGATGGCGGGGTTGGAGGGGGGCGCTTGATCGGGTTTGTCCGTCGGGAGTAAGTCCTTGGGACTTTCGCGATCAAGGACAAGACAGTAGTAGGCGGAGTCGGGGTTTAGGCGAGCGATGTGGAGGAATTGGTGCGGGGTGACAGAGCCTTGGGAGATCGGATATGGGAGATAGGGGATGTCAATGGTTGTGTCCGGGGGGTTGGTGAGGCGAAGGAAGTTGGGGTGGAATGCGTATGGCATGTAGTGGTCCAGCCACGGGGTTCCTAAGACGATGTCGCACATCAAGTGCATGACGTCAAACGAGACCTGACTGCGGAGGGTTTCGACGATCATGGTGGTCTCGGGAACCGTGCGGTCTACTACGACGGCGGTCCCCTAGGCGAATTGTGATCGGGTAGTCATAACCGGTAGAGGTAAGACCGGCTTTGTGGACACACGCGTCTGTGATGATGTTACCGGTGGCTCCAATGTCGAGGAGGGCCGGAAACTTAGTTGTAGACACACCAAGGGTGGCAGCGATGAATTGAGGTGGAAACGAGATGAGTTGGCAGTGGAGATGATGGTGTTGAGGCGGTGTTGTTTGTTGCCTAAGCGGACAAGCCGATCGTGTCGGGCTTGTTCCTCAACAACATCGAAGAAGGTGATAGTGGATGGATTTGGAAGAAGGGTAGAGGAGCATGAGGCAGTGGGAGGCGTTTGCGACGCTTGGGAGTCATCCGGTGGAGGGGGCGTCGCCGGAGAGGGGGGAGGCAAACGAATTGTCGATGTCAGATGGGCCATCGGTGGGACGGAGGACGTCACCGATGGGTGGGCCGACATATGCAATGTCGATGCCGGGTCAGTGTCCTGGGGACGGTGTTCATGATGAGGAGGGGCCCGCGCTTGCCGAGGGCGGTGATGCGGAGGTTGCGGGTCGAGTGGAGGCGGACTGGCGGGTGAATCGTGCGGCGTTGGGGCTGTTGGTTTGTTGGTGCCCCAATTGGCGACAATGGAAGCAACCCCCTTTTGCTTGGAGGTAGGTGCGCTCCTCGGGGGTGAGTTTCTTGAGGCGGGAGGGTGGGGTAGATGAGGGTGGTCGGGA